AGACTAGCACCATTAGAAGAAACCTGGAAGCATGCACTGAAAGACGGCTGTTTTATTCTGGTATGGGACTCATCAGCGGCAGTGCGTATCGACGACTCCTGCACTGGGCTGAGCTAAGGCTATGTACGACAGCCTGGATGGCGAGGTGAGGACATCAACAATATATTTATGCGAATATTACAGAGGTGTTAAGCATATGTACAAAACCTTCCCGTGAATCATCATTTGCATACTAATCCTTATTTCTGTTTCAGATTTCAGTTTTCAATGTTCATTTAGACTGTTCATAATTCAGTTCACTTTACCCTTACCTACAAATCGCCTTCTGTTTACATTCTTTCTTTCTCGATCTTTTGCTGTCAGACGTTTGATTTCCATTTAATATCATATTATACTACTTATGTGAATATAAGTAGCGTACACCACAGTAATAATGTCATGTTGATTCTCAAAAATTATTCCATAATATGTTGAGTGACTGCACTCAGTACGATATCCAAGGATTAACCTAATCTTAAAATATAAGCCATTTTCTAACTAACTGATAAAGTCATATTGTGTAAATATCATGCTACAATTAAAACTATCTTCATATTTTCAATGCTGTTTTGTATTCTAGGCATTTGCAGCAGTAGAAGCAATAAGTGATCGTATCTGTATACAATCCCACGGGAAACAATCAGTTGAATTGAGTGCTATTGATCTAATAAGCTGTTGTCCACATTGTGGATATGGTTGTAATGGTGGTTTTCCTAGTTATGCATGGGATTTTTGGATAAATGAAGGTATTGTGACTGGTAGTTCTAAAGAGAATCACACTGGTTGTCAACCATATCCATTCCCCAAGTGTGAACATCATACAAAAGGAAAATATCCAGCATGTGGTACAAAAATTTATAAAACGCCGAAATGTAAACAAACTTGTCAAAATGTTATAAAATCTCTTATAAACAAGATAAACATCGTGGTAAGTAAGTAAGTAAGTAAGTAAGTAAGTATTTTCCCAGTACTAGACACTAATCTACCAATAGCTAAGATTTGCATAATCTTTAAAAAAAATTTCGTCTTGATGAAAAGGTCACCACTTTATAATAATCAAAATTGTTCCCAATGAAAAATATTTTTCAGTAATCTGACAAGAGGAAGGAAGGTATTTATTTTAAGGCAGAGCTTTGGAGTTTCGTGATTTCACACATTTAAAGTCATCAATCAATCATCGTTACAGCACCATTAGATACCTGGAAGCATTTGACGGCCGTTTCGTCCTTATATGGGACTCATCAGCAGGGTTCGAACCAGGGACCTTCGATATTGTGCGCGAACACCTAATCATCGGACCACCGGGCCGGCACCCAACTGTGTTACTGTCTAACTCTGATTGATCTAGGGATTTTTGCGCGACCTCTTCCATTTGTCTTCGGTAGTTACTGCCCACACCCGACAGGGTTGAACACCATTGGTCATGTCTTCTCAACTAGAACTCCGAGAATTTCCTCACGAACCTAGTAACTAGTGAGCACTGTTACGATATTTTCAGTTAGAGCTTTGGAGATTTGTGTATTTACACATTTGAAATCATCAATTAAACATTGTTAGACCAACACTAGAAACCTGGAAGCACTGAAAGACAGCCGTTTCGTCTTGGTATGGGGGACTAGCTCATTAGTGGCAGTGCGCATCCATGACTCACTGAAATCCCTAAATCGAATTGAAAACAAACTCAGAATTCATAACATATATATATTTAACTAAATAGTGAACATTATATAATCAACAGAAACAGATACTTGATGGAGAATGTGGTGGTATGAATTAAGACAAGGTTAACTGCTGAGGAGTCCCATACCAGGACGAAACGGCCGTCTTTCAGTGCTTCTTCCAGGTTTCTAATGGTGCTAGTCTAACATTGATCGATTCATGGTTTCAAAAATGTGTAACTTAACAATCTTCACAACAACCCCGCGATGCAATCACATGTGCTCACTAGTGACTAGCTTGGTGAGGAATCTTCTCCGAGTTCTAGTGGGAAGTCGTAACCAGTGAAGTTCAAACCTGTTCGGATGTATACAGTGTATGAGGTTGAGCAACTCCATGAATTTGATCAAGTTAGACATTAACACCGTTGGATATCGGCTCAGTGGTCTAACGGTTAGGGCGTTGTCGCACGATACAGAAGGTCCTGGGTTCGAGTCCTGCGGGGTGCAGGAGTCGTGGATGTGCACTGCTGATGAATCCCACACCAGGACGATACGGCCGTCGTGCAGTGCTTCCAGGTTTCTGACGGTGGTGGTTTAACATTGATCGACTCATGGTTTCAACGAAAACTCAGTAGTCTTCACAACAACCCCGCAATATCATATAAGTGTTTGAGATTTGTACGATTTGGAAAAAAAACGATAAAAACTCGTCATAAATTGTTTGATCCGAAAAAAATGAAACATCAAAAGACTAATGAAATCTAGTCAGAATGAAACAGTTATTTTGTGTAAGTTTTTAGTTTGAGCTAATAGTGCTTTTCAAAGATTTCATATGTGTATAGATATTATACACATTTGAAATCGTCAGTCGAGCAATGTTAGACTACAATTAGAAACCTGGAAGCACTGAAAGACGGCTGTTTTGTTCTGGTATGGTAATCATCAGTGGCAGTGCGCATTCAGGACACCTGCACCTTGCAGGACCACTGGTCCAGAGGTTATGTGTTCGCGTGAATATCAGAAGGCCCTCGGTTTGAATCTTGCGAGGCGCAAGTCTCTTGGATGTGCACTGCTGATGAGTCCCATACCAGGACGAAACGGCCTCCTTTCAGTGCTTCCAGGTTTGTAACGGTGGTCTAACAATGGTTGATTGATGATTTTGATGTGCGAAAAACACTAATTTTCATAACTCTACTGTTACGAAGATTCATTTCTCTTAACAGAAGTATATTTAAGAATATTAAAGATTCCCATTGTGAAAATTAGAACAACACATATAAGCGAACAATATTGTTTTCGATTAGATCGTCATCAGGCTGCTTTACTCTAATATACATGAATATTTATATATGAAAATGTTAAACCAATCAAGGCAATTTATCAGTCAATAATCACATTGAAATGAAATAGACATTACGTCACTACATATAATAGGCAAAAGTACAAGTGGATAGTAGGAAGACAGGTGTACTGATAGAAGTAAGAAAATCATAAAGTATGATAACTAAAGTTTTTTCAATAGTAGGTCAAAGGTGGATGAATAGACATCAAATGGGACAAATTAATGAGAGCAATTAGTAGAGCATTCAATGCAGCCAAACTTGCGTTTACCTTCTCAAGTCGACACCAGTGATGTCTACTCAAACGAAGGATAAATTACCTGAGTTGGCCTCCTCTATGTGCATTCACAAATTCAGCTGCTCCTGTGGAGATAGCTATATCGGGCTTACTACCAGGCAACTTAACCAACGAATGAGTGAACATCTCCCAGCATGGTTTAAGAAGGGTCAGTCAAAAATAATACGCAGTTCGATCTTAGCACACCTGGTTGATAGTGGTCATATTGTAGATAAGTCTAGATCTTTTCGGGTGATCTATCGTATACCTCAATCATTTCCCAACGGAGTTCGATCCCGTCTCCTACACATAGCAGAAGCCATAGGAATTCGTATATTCAACCCCAATTTATGTGTTCAGAATAAATTCGTGACACTCCTATCTCTTCCGTGGCCGGATATGACGTAACTAACGTTTGACATTATATATTTTTTATCGTATTTTATTTTTATTTTTACATATTTGCTTATTACGTAATGGTTTTGATGTTTTTAATGTTTATTTGATGTCTATTCATTCACCTTTGACCAACTATTGATAAAACTTTAGTTATCATATTTTATAATTTTCTTACTACTAACAGTACACTTCTGTCTTCCTACTACCATCAACTTGTATTTTTGCCTATTATTTGTAGTGACATAATATATTTCATTCCGTTGTGATTATTGACTGATCAATTGCCTTGATTGGTTTAACATTTTCATATAAACATTCATGTATTTTAGAGTAAAGCCTGATGACGATCTAATCGAAAACAATATTGTTCGCTTATATGTGTTGTTCTAAAAGTAGTGGTGTTGAAGAATCCAGAAGATTAGGATTTGAGTGAACATAAAGAATGGATGCATCTGCGTCATTACAAACGGTTTTGAGCCATATCATTTAGATCGTTAACCATCGAGTACTATCATCTTGCGGACCGCAATCAAGTAGTCTACATGTACCATCATGACACAGTCCAGTTGTCAGTGACTTCATGGATTTGTGATGTCATTCTCTATTCACTTCGTTCTTCCATGCACGAAAAATTTGAATATTTTGACAGTTTAAATTTAAGAGTATTAAAGATTCCCATTGTGAAAATTAGAACAACACAGATATAAGCGAACAACATTACTGTTTTTGATTAGATCGTCATCAGGCTGCTATACTCTAATATACATGAATATTTATGTTAAAATGTTAAACCAATCAAGGCAATTTATCATTCAATAATCACAATGAAATGAAAAAGGCAAAGATACAAGTGGATAGTAGGAAGATAGGTGAACAGATAGTAGTAGGTCAAAGGTGGATGAATAGAAATATATTTGCAAAAGTCCAAACCTACACAAAGTGACAAGCAAGATTCTTCTATACAACACAATAAAATCACACTGGACGATGAAACTCTGGAAGATGCAAATATATTTACATATCTGAGGAGCATCATTGATTCGCAAGGTGGATCTGATGCACATGTGATAGCGCGGATCGGTAAAGCAGGGTGCATTCCTGAGATTTAACAATACTGAGAACTCAAGACAACTTAAAACCAACATGAAAGACAGCATTTTTACTACAAATGTTAAGAACTTCTACTGTATGGTGTGGAAATCCGGATAACTACGAAAGCCATCATTCAGAAGATACGAATGTTGATTAACAGTTGTTCTAATTGTGTTTTTTTTTTCAAATTTTAGAGCAATATGTTATCATCATCGCCGACAACATCATCAACAAATTCATATTTTCCAATACCATTTGTTCATATTCCAACTGTGAATTATTTTCCATGTTCTTCTACTAATAATGATCAACAACAGTATTCTTATCTAAAATTATCAATTGAATGGCCTAAATATTTTCAAACACATCACTTTGTTGTACCAGAAGATGTGACACCAGTTCATGTATCGAATCAATTGTCAACTGTAACTGAGAGCACTGTACAATCAACTTCAAGTATTATTAATACAGTGAAACAAAAACGTTCCAGTTCTTATCATTCATTGAAACCATTGAATGATAATCATAATAATAATAACAACACAATGACCTTGAAACATGAATATACTTTTTCGAATTTAAATACAATAGCTTGTTTACAATTGAAAATCAAGTTTCTACCTAATAATCATAGTTTATTGGGTAGTAAAGTTATTTTAAGCTTAGGGTAAGTCGTTTTACTTTTCATCGTGTAGTGTATTGCATATATAAATATATATTCGACGGGATAAACTCCACTGTTGTATGGCCATTAATGATCTCATATATGGCAATCAGTCAAAATGCGCTGAGAGTCAGTCCTTGTCTTTGCTATCGTAACGCATGATAGACATCATTTTTTGTTCTGTATAGTGTTTCTTATAATTCAAACCATTTTAATTCTATCCTGAGACTTGGAAAGTCTTCATTCAGAAGAGTTATGACGTCTCATGATGTAAGCTGAGTTCTTTTGGCAGTCACAAGGCTGATGTAACTTCTGATAACCAGAGCAACCATTGTTTTATGTACAAGAAATGTTCAAACAATGTGGAAGAGCGGAAAACTATTCCAAATTGCTGCAGAAATGAAAAGATACCACCTCGAGTTGCTCGAAATCAGTGAAACACATTGTACAACTAAAACTAGCATCAGGAGAGTTGCTGTTATACTCTGGCCAAGAAGAAGTGGTTTTTCGCTGACTTGTCGGTAGTGTTACAGTAATGTTTGTTTGTTCCACTGGTTTATGGATGAATATGAGAGAGTGAGAGAAATGGAATGCAATTCAAAGTGAGATATTTACTTCCGGGTTTCATGTGATTTTGTTTGTGTAGAAATTTCTGAAAACATGCTAAAGTTGGTAACAACATAGGTAATTACCCAACCAAAACATGACCTTAGACCTTGAGTACCTCTTGGGGCTAATTGGATAAAATATTTCTTAACTGTGCTTCTTCTTAGGATATTCATCCAATATCCTAAGAGAATTATTCGTCAATTCCTATTGGTTAATTCCTACTGGTCAATTTTATGGTCGTCCTAGATATCAATGTCACGTGCTCCAATGTTATTTCTTATTGGTTGTCCTGACTATCAATGTCACTTCAAATGTTGCTTCCTATTGGTTGTCTTAACTGTCAGTGTCACAGACTTCGATGCTGTTTCCTATTCGACCAAAATGTATAAATACGCATTATCTGTAACGTTTTATGACCAGGACCCTGTCTCGGATCCCTAGTTGGGGATCCTGATTCTTTTCTGGACTCGGACCTCGTATTTTCTGAATGTTTGTAGAATACAAGTTCTACTTCATATCAAGTCTTCTTATTTTCATTGAATATAAGGGTTGGGATAATCGGATTTGAGTAGCATATCGTATCGCCGGGTCCTCGTTCTCGTTTTCCGACTAGGTAAACTCGTAATAATAGTTCAAGCATATCAAAATGACATGTTTACGTGCAGGCGTAACACTTCTCAAAATTTCAATGAGGGAGATACTTTTGAACTCCTACAACTGAGTTAATTTTTGGACTAAATATTTGATTAAATTTGCCTTAATAATACTATTCCTTTTCGGCAGCAGGCATCACATTTATTATATGTAAACTGTTTTGTCGGTAATCAATAGAAAACTTTGGAACCTAAGTACTATGTTAGTTAAGTGTATAAAAACAAAGCAAAGTGCACACATACACAATACTGAGTCATTTAGACTAGTTGTAGTTATGATGTGTAACTGTTTTCAGAATTCAATTAGCAATGATGTGCCAAACAAATGTGATATTGATCACTGCTCAGTAAAGAATCAATGAAAATATCTCGATGAGCTATGTTTTATGGTGTAGGAGAGTAGGTTGAAAGAAAGCTAGGGGCGGCCAATCTAAAACATTGCTCATAATTCTACGACATATACTATTATCGGATTTCAATGGACAATTGTATTTCTGTGCTATCGTGGTATGACAACATGAACTGATGTAAGTATGTACGTACAAAAATTGTACGTTGTTGCTGACATGGACTTGACTGCCTAAAGTGTCAGTTGATTCGGTACTAATGAAACATTGTGGATCCTCACTGGGAGCATTAGTCCTCCAAGATTGTAGGTATAATTGTGAATCGTTTGTTTGAATATGAGAGTACTCACTAGTAGTGTATACATGGGTCCGGTTAGCCTAGGCATTTCTATTAATATTGAGTGATCTGGTTTAATTTGTTTATTCTAGTTACAGTGAAACAGCATATTATTCGTGAGAAAAACATGGTTAAGTGGTATAACGATAGTAAGGTGTTGAAGCGTCAGTGTCTAAAATTAAACATTGTGGAACTCAAGCCAAACAGTTGCTTATCCCAATACATCTCCGTTAATTTAGCGTGAAAAAGAACTGATAGCTTACAAACCGAATCATGATACCAGTTTACTAGGTTACTAACTATCATTTTGAATTAAGTGAAGAGATTATGAGAGTGGCCAAAAGTCGGCTCTCATTCGGTCACGCGTGTATAGCTCAACTGCTGGAAAGTTCTACTTATAGCCGTTACTCGGCCAAAATAATGTTTGCGAAATTCATAAGATGAAAAGCGAATATCTGATTGATGCTTAAACCGGGATTTCGGGTACGTAGGATCCATCTAGAGGAATTGGAAAACTCCGCTGTCAAGACTACACGGCGGCGCACATGAGCTTCAGGATCCCCAGGAAACATAAAAGACCTATTTTCGTGTCATTGGGACTGCATCTCCTTGGGTTGCTCCATTGCTTTATGGATTAAGATCTTTAGGTCAAAGGCTTCAGTAATGAGCCTTTTAGAAAACTAACTGTCTCGGATTAGCTCAACTTGACAATATCATAGTTAACCCTACATACAGATTCATTGATTTAGTGTGATGCATAAATATTCAAGTGTCTATTTGTTACCAATGTTTCTGTGTTTAAATAAACACAATAAGCAACATATAACCTGACACACATGTACATTCAATTCATATTACCAGTAACTGATGGTTAAAGACTTTGAATGACATGACTATAAATCGTTTGCTATCGGCACTGGTGCACCTATTCTTTGTTTCTTTTCTCAAATTCTAAATCTTTTGAACTTCTCATGATCTTTTTCTGTCTGTCTCTTATTTTTAAAAAAATTTTTTTGAGATATACTTTTTGAATGATATCTTCGAACGCTGATCTCTCCGATTACTGTTAATACTGTGGTGTGAGCTACTTATAAGTAGTATATGACGTGAGTGTCAACGTGATGTCTGGCAGCAGAAGATGGGGGAAGATCAAGAAAGGAAGAAGAGTGGGAACACAATGGAATTTGTATGAAACGCATGAATAGTGACAATGGATTGATGTTTTGCAACAGGAACAGTCCCAGTTCGATATGATGATGAACTGATATTTTGCAAATTAACGATTTACGATATGGTTTTTCCAATTTTACTGAGATAACTCTGTAATTTTCGTTAAATACAATCCGGTTGCCCCACCTGCGTTCTCGTTCACCACAATACTACTACCTCTACATACTACGCGGTTTGAACTTGACAGTTTGATCTATGTGTGCTAATGTGGTTATGGCAAGTTGAACTAAGTGTACGTATGTAATGGGTTCTACGTTGTAGCTGACTGACTACCAGTACACTTAATCAGTATATCAGTGATTTTAGGTCACAAGACATAAAATGAAAAAATGTTCAACAGCTTATTCAACATTGATTTTTTTTCCCCTTTTAGTTCAAATAAGCAAATCATTCAAAATATATTTCCTACTAACAAAAGTAATCATCATCAACAAGATTATGCTCATGATAACTTGTCAATATCATATAAATCATACGCTCCTAATATATCCGTATTCAATTGGTCAACATTACATCGTCGAAAACTATCGGATTTAAACAACAATACTTTATTACCATATCATGTATGGATTAATGTTTCAATGCCTATATATCCTCCAACTACTACTACTACTGATAGTAGTAGTAGTAGTAGTTTTACTAGCAGTAGCAGTAGTACAGATCCCATTACTCCGTATCATGAAAGTGTTTCCCATCCACATGAAATATTCACAGAACAATCAAATCATTGGATAGTTGTACATTCTAACCAGCTGTTGACAATCCTTACAACAAACAATGTATGCATTGATGATATTTCATTGTTTACACATAAAGATCGATCATCACTAACATCATTATGTCCACGTCAATTAATTTGGTTTCATAATGATACTACTACTATACAACAGCTTTATATTAAAACTGAAGGTTATCCAATGATCAAATTGAATGAGACAAATTCATTGAGCCAATCAAATCGACGTAATCGAAAGAATCATCAGGATAATAGTACAAATCTATATGTGACATCATTTTTCTCATTTGAGAATGGTTTACAAATGATATGGATTGCTGGTTCATTATTATTAACTGTATTTATTATTTTTTCTGGCTATTTTATTCATTATTACTTTTAGTTTATCAGTAATATGTACACGACGAAAACAAGTTCATTTTAATCATAAAAAAACTTTAACTACTGAAAATAATATAAGTAGTCGAAATGAAAAATGTAAAAATAATACTCATAAGAATAATGATATGGGATTATTTTGTGTAACAAAAAAAATCGTCGTAAATTCTATTTAAATCGTCATCATTATCATTGTGAATTATTAAATGTACTGCCAAATAGTTCATTATTAATTGATTTACATAATCATTTATCTTCATCATCATCATTGCATGGTTTATTGAATCAACAACAACAACAACCAAATCATCTACAACTTGACAGTCAACAGCATAATTCACAACAACAACCACACCCACACCTACAACTGCAACAAGTCAATACAGCATCGTTAACAACACATCAACAATGTTTAGATGATAATTCAAACAGAACTTAGTTTATGTATTCAAGATGATAAAAATGACTTAATGAATGTAAGTTGTGTGGGGTTTTTTTTCGTGATATCTACTTGTTTAATTGATATAGTTAGATTTGGTGTTAAATGTTACCTTGGGAAAAATGGTTTTGATATATTTGGAACTAGATGGTAAAGACAGAGGAATTTGTCTTCTCAATTAACAAATAGTTGTTTATTTCAGTTATGATATTAATCAAATGACATGTTTAGATGCACTGACTTCTCTTGGCACGCGTGTTGTTTACGAGTTCAGAGAAACGAAAAGCGTGTTGGAGGATGTTACATCCCTAGAACTCGTTTGATAAATATCATTATTTTGGATTTATTTCATGGACCGATCCGTTGACCTTCAGATCACATTTCCTACCAGGAAAATCGTCGGCTGTGATTGGCTACTGTTTATTGTTGTGTGCTATTTTTGTGGCTGTCCCAAGGACGTTTCTATAGAGTATAAACAAACGCGATTTGAGTGCTTGGATTCATTGTATGCTGGCTGGGTGTTCGTAGAATACAATCTCTACACTATATCAAAACTTTTTGCTGATACCTTTTGGTCAAGGGATCACAGTAGCCTTCCTGGACACTGGTTCATTGTTTTGTTCTCGTGATTCGACTAAGGTGAACTCGTAATAGTTGAAGCATACCTAGAGACGAGCGCAACAAAGCGGATGTATGATGGTTGTAAAAACCGGTTTGGTGAGTTTGAAGGAACCACATATAGCATTCGGCGAATCCTATTTTCGATACAATGATGCATATAGGTTCCATGATTCAGAGGGTTCATGTCTATTAAGGTTGATCTACTGTTTTGTCAACTGATCCTTTTAGATAAACCGCCTACTAAGGTTTGGTCACCCGAACAGTATCTCACCCCATCCATCAATTCACTGATTTTTGTGGCGTTTACATATTTAGGTATCCTCTTTGTACCAGTGTTTATGTGTTCCGAGTTCCAACACGAAAGGACATTTAAAAGTTATCTGAAGTAACTGATCTACAACACAAGTAGACTTGATTTATAAATGAAGACTAGCATCAGACTAAACTGTTTTGACCCTGGCTTTTTCGGTTTCTTGTAATGTTTATTTGGTATGTAAAAAGCTCAATGTTTCAGTGAAATCACAACTGATAGCTTAGATATAGTGAGACCATTTGTATTTCGCAAATTATCTAGCCATTATATCCTAAATAGAGATATTTTGCCAGTTCTTTCTCATAATCCGTGTCTTTACAGAAGATTGTTTTTACGCGTATCAAAGTAAAAACATTTGTGACTAATTATAAAAATCAAATCAAACTTGACAGACAATAACTGGGAACCCTCAGGGCTAAGGATGCTTTCACCAGTGACTAGCTTCGTGAGATGTGACCAGTGCATTTCAACCCTGTCGGGTGTAGGCAGTAGGTACCGAATCCAATGGGCGATGTCGCGCGAAATCCCTTGATTGATCAGAATTGAACATTAACACCATTTGATATCGCCGGCCTAGTTGTCCAGAGGTTAGACGTTCGTACGCAAGATTTAAGGTCCTGGGTTCGAGCCCTGCTAGTAACAGGAATCATAGATACGCGCTGCTGCCATGCAGTGCTTACAAGTTCATTTATTATCGATCAACTTATTCACAATATTCTTCTTCTCCTTCTATACTTCCCCCACCCCTCTGCCCTTAGTCAATGAATCGACAAATGACTGACAACTCCAATATATCCACAACAACTACAGCAGCTTTACAATTATTACGTAATTGGAATTTTTATAAACAACGCAGTAATACACCAATAACGTCATCATTATCATGTTGTCGTTATTATGATTATTCCCATTATCCACCGACTACTACTAGTTATCCTATGATGCATCAACAGCATCGAATCAGTCCAATCAAATGTTCAGCATTAAAACGTGCTAACATTTCTTCCAATGTTAGTCTTCTATCCAATAACACAAATAATCATCATAATCGAAATTCAATCAATATCAATGATAATCTATTAGATGAAGAGAATATTATCTATCGTTGTCATTCATCTCAATTAAACAATGATCATCACAATCATCACCGCGATCATCATAAACAATCTAAGCATCATGAATTACGTCAATCGTTAATTTTATCATTCAATGAAAATAATCAATTAATTCTGTTACCATCATCCGAATCGAATGATCAACAACACACTGATCATCATCATCGTACTAGTACTAGTAATATGTTGAATAGTTTATCCGAAGAAGATGCTGAAGCAACACGATTAGAAATGGCTACATCAGTGAATGCATTAGATAAATATTTTGTACAGAATACTACTGATAACAATAATAATAGTAATAATACATTAGATAATATGCATGATTATACTCTATCCACTATACCACGTTCAATAACCATGACGATGTCGACAATGATGATGAACAATGACGCAGAACAACCACCGCCAAGTTATCATGATTGATTAATAAAAGGAGAGGGTAGTGCATTTCGTTTTTGTTGTTATTGTTTGAATGTTACTTATTTGTGTTCTTTCCTTGTTAAATGAGATGATAAGCTGTTTTTCCTCACTCGCTTTCTTTCTCTCAGATATATATATTATATACATACCCGTTATATTACGTTATTGAAATGATTTCTATGCTTACTATAATATATTTCATTGTTTGATTTGTGAAATGTAGTTGCGAGAGAGAGAAGTGATAACTGAACTCTTCAAACAGCAATCCATATTCTTCTCATCTCCGGTTAATCATTGTTTGTAAGGGGAGAGATGTTGTTATGCAATATATATATAATATGTCTTTTGTTATAATGACGAATTTTTCAATGTTTATTCAATGAATAGTTAGTTGTATTTCTATTGGTTGGTTTGTTTGTTTTTCTGTTTCGGTCGCCATGTTTTTTTTTGTTTTCGTCTTAACAGAAACAAAATTTGATTAGGATTTTATCATTATTTACTTTAGTGTATGCATATTGCTTGTTCTACATAATTGTCTATTGAACAAAATGAACAAAGAGTAAGTAGTCAAGTGTCATTTTTATGTTAAACAATGTGAATTCATGAATTGTGGACACCAGAACACACACTCTCGGTGCTATTCGGTTATCTTTTGTTGAGTAGTTTCTTGCATAAAAAATATACAGCAAGTAGTAGTACATAGTTCGTTACTTGATTTGTACTGCTACACACCAATACACAGTAGCTGCTTTTTTTTTAAACCTTAAGTTTGACAACTAATTTCTAGGGAATAAATAATATTTCCGTTTAATTTTTGCTTGTTTTTACTCGCTCGTCAGTGATTTTCTCTTTTTTTTTAATTTAGATATTTTATAATTATTATTGATGAGTTTGTTTTAATTTATTCATTCATGCAAATTAGAATCATTATCTAATTTTTATTGAAAGCCCTTCTTTTTTTAAATCAAATTATTGAACATTGAATTTCTTGTTGCGTTCAGGTTTGATTGTTTGAAGTTGTGTTGCCTGTTTTTTTTTAGTTGATCGAAATAATTGAACATTGAATTTGTTGCGTTCAGTTTTGCCTGTTGTTGTTGTTTGACGTGTATGCTCGACGATAGTCCGTTCGATGGAATTGAATGTGTTCAATAGGAATTTATCAAAAAGAATCTTCTTATATTCTACGTTTCTTTTTATTATTGTAAAAAAATGTAATTTATATTATATATGACCCAGAATACATAAAAAAACCTTTTGTCTTTTTTTCAAAAGCTGTTTATGTGAAATTCAACGTAATATATGGTTTAGTGAATAATTAAATAGAGGATTCTATTAATTAGAGCTCACCGACACACTTGAGGATTAGTGTAGTATGAGGGTGAAATAAGGTAGAGACAAGGTAAGTCCTACTTGCTGTTTTGTTTTTGTGGTACAGATATATTTACAAAATTAAAAAGACAAAATACCCGGTGACAGCTTGAACCATGTTGATGGTGGGTGGAAAATATCCACTTGGTGGGGGGGGGCTGGAGAACCCTGACTCTAAAGCAATGTTGCGTATCGGTTCCATGATCCTCAGAAAAGAAATAGTGTATAAACCTCATGATGCTCCTAAACTACCTACCCCAAAAAAGCCTAACAAACACATGCATTTCCAACCATTACAAACACTCGCAAACACATTTCACCACACAAATACAATCACCTCAAAAACAAAACATCAACACTCTCACTAACACATCATATCACATAACACCACACCACACCACACCACACAACATCTACATCTTCACTTCACCTCATCAATTACTTCGACTAACACTCAACTACACTACACAAACACACACCACGCACAACATTCACACAATACACACAATAACACTAGCACATCGTCGTCGTCGCAATTATTGTCATCATCAGGAAGCACAATTCACCAAACATCTCACACATCATCCACACTACACACATAACTGTCTGGTGATGCACACAAACATTCACAGTAGTGAGTGACTGCATCACCAACTATTTCAATCTACCTCTGGCTCTTACGCCCCAGCGCCTTTTAACAGAGGACAACAGTGCATATCCATCAACAGTCAATAACCACCCACACTACAACAACCGCCGCACATCAACCACAACCAACCTATCAATCACTGTCACAACATTTTTACACATATACTGCCATTCAATCAATTCATCACTCTCTCACTTCCATCCACCAACATGGCACAAACACAAAACACTACTTACTCCATACACATCATTACGCAGCAACAACACAACATTACACTCAATCACTCACTGCATAAACTCTACTCATACCTCTCCATTACAACAACAACGTGCACACTACACATACACTCTCACTCACTCAGTCATACACCTACGCACATTAACATCAATATGCAAGATATATATATATATATATATATATATATATATATATATATATACCGACCGTCGCTGCTACCTTGACGTGGTGGTCGGGCTTGCCTATCGTGATGACCCAGCCGAGCTATACTGGCTGGAACATATGTTCCTGAAGGTTTTACCATGCCAAACAGAACGGTTGGAGAACGATGAGATCAAAAGCAGCTACTCAAGGTCTGAGGGCGAAGTCGTACTGCTGACTGTAGAGAGAGAGGTGTGACTGCAGTAAGGTGTTTCCATCGGACAACCAGCATTTGCAGCGATGCTGCCTTCTCACAAGGAAGGAAGGGTTAGGAAAGGTCGACCCTAAACATGTCACACCTCACCCTACCTCACAGATTTCCGTCTCCGGCGGTTAGGGTGCCCACTAAGGGCTTTCAAGAGCGGAGCTAATCATCAAAAAACCTTTCATAAAAAGGCTGTGAGTGACCGGCATCAAGCAGTTGTTTGTCCCTTGGACTCTACGGTCACGCTCCCAGGTCTCTAAGACCAACACTAAACTATCTTCCTTTTCGGGTTCCTCAAGAAACAACCTTCCACGGTGTGGGCAGACGAGAAGTGACAACCGCTCTCATACCCGAACCAGCACACGAGCCCGAATTGGTCAGAATCAAATCCTGCATACACCCTGCAGCCCCTAGTACCTCTTATCTCCACGACTAACTCCTCTCACATTCTTCTATCACACTGCATCGCTAATGCAAACGATGCGAGTTCACGAAACGTCATTTCTGGTCTCCTGAAACCTCCTTCTACATTACATGTTGGAGCATTTAATGTACGTACATTATGTCAAATAGGGCAACAGGCTTCGTTAGCTAGAACTTTAGAATCTCGCTCAATCGATGTATGCTGCGTCTCGGAAACGCGCATACAGGATCCTAGTAAAATTATTAATCTGATTTCGACTTGACAAAACAAAGAAGCAGCCCGATTAACTCTTTGTGCATCCGGTAGCCCTGATGCTGCTTCTTGGGGTCTCGCTGGCGTAGGCATAGCATTGAGTCATAGGGCAGAACTAGCGCTCCTAGACTGGATCCCTGTAGATAGTCGTCTGTGCAACGTCCGACTGAACGGGACAGTAAGGACTCGGAAGGATAGTGACACTCGCCGTTACCTCTTCGTCGTATCTGCCTACGCTACCATTTACTGCAGTTCAGACGAGTTCTAGAGAAAGCTTTCGGACCTCCTCCAAAAAGTTAGGCACTCTGATGTAGTAATAATGGCTGGTGACCTTGATGCTCAGGTAGGTAGACAAAGTGAAAATGAAAGACACCTAGGTGCATGTTATAGTCTCGCGGCTCAAAGAACAGACAACGGCGACCGTCTGTGGCAACTGTGCTCAGATAAGCAACTATTTCTAGCAAACACTAACTTTAGGCATAAGGAAAAGCACCTTTTGACCTGGCGACCCCCGAAGTCGTCTCAAAGTTGGACGCAACGAGATCATATTGCCATCAGCCACCGATGGAGGGGTTCGATAGAGGACTACCGCTCGTTCTGGGGAACATGTTAAGATTCTAGTCATGCCCTAGTGCGAGTTCGTATTTTTTTGAAGCTCACTGGGCATAAGAAAGACACAGTAAGAAAGCCTCTCAGGGATTTACTTAATGATAATAGGGCGAAGAATATATTTCAGGAACAACTAGAAAGACAGTTAGGTGACCACTTAAGCGATTCCAATCCGGAGGCAGGTTGGAATGATATCAAAAAGGCTGTGGAAACAGCAGTGATATCTGCTAGTAAGGTTGAACATAAGGCTAGAATGAAGCCGTGAATCACAGAAGCATCCACCGATCTGATGTATGTCCGAAAACTCATCCTAACTGGTTCTGAAAATGATGAAGAACGAAGTCAACCTAGGCGCAGACTTATAAAAAGCCTACGTAACGATCGCGAACAGTGGTGGGTGGCGAAAGCAAAAGCGATGGAAAAGGCAGCGGCGATAGGCAACAGTAGACAACTTTTCCGACTTATCAAGGAAACTGGTATTAGGAATCCTAGTGTAAGTGAGACTATCTCGGAAAATGATGGGACCATTATTTATTCTCAATCCAGGCGACTGGATCGATGGGCAGAACACTTTAGGGATCAGTTCAACTGGCCACGAGCCACTCTTCGGTTGCCCACGATCACCAGTCATTCTGAATGGCAAATCGACGTAAGTCCCCCTAGTCTTAATGAAGTTGAAAAAGCGTTAGGAAATCTGAAGCGAGGGCGAGCTGTGGGTCCTGATAGACTGACCCGTGAGATATTTAAGGATGGTGGTCCAGTTTTAGCAGCTAGGTTGACCGAGATCTTAAGTAGAATCTGGGAACTGGACGTAATCCCATTCGACTGGTCTCAATCACTGCTTGTCCCAATTTATAAGAAAGGACAGAAGTCTTCTTGTGACAATCACAGCGTAATAAGTTTCACTAATATATATATAGATTGTTAGCCTCCATTACACTTAGACGCCTTACCAGTGCTTGTGAAGAGCCGACTATAGGAAACCAGTCTCGTTTTCGACCTGAACGTAGTTGTATAGACCACATTTTAACACTACTTCAGGTGTTCGAACACAGACAAAAATTTGGGCATCCTACAACAGTTGTCTACATGGACCTAAAAGCGTCATTTGACTCAGTGGATCGTGAGGTTCTGTGAAAGTATCTGCCATTAAAAGGTGTACCAAAAAACTACATTAACATTATACAAGCTCTCTAATCGAACAGCACTAGTTGAGTGAGAGATTATGGCGAACTGTCACAGGAATTCTTTACTTCAAGTGGTGCCCGACAGGGACAAACAAATAAACAAAAACAATTATTATTCTCATCACCCATTATGTGTATGCCGACATGCAGCTTGCATCATCACCACACGACAACAAACAAACAACCTCACGCTCCCCACTTCTACTAAACACCTAACTCCCACACACACAATATTATCAGCACCGAATACACCCAAATCACATTCACCAATCAATCACACACAAGTGCGAGCACACTCCCGACACACACAATTGTACGCAAACTAGACTACACCCCATACATAAATATAGAAACTTGGTGTTTCAACCTAAAATCTACGCCCAATATCATGTCCCAGGTTAATGTAGGGCAAACTAAAAACTCATGACGAAACGAACACTTCTCCAATGTTAAGTCGAATTGAAGAGAACGGCACTCCGATTTATCATGGCGGACAAAATGTCGAACCCATCAGAAGCCCATCGAAATTCTGTGATGACGGTGGAAACCAGTCAATTGGATTGTTCCTCGAGGGCAGCTTCTGTTGCACACCTTTCCAGCCGACGTATTAATCGTCGGGGGTCAAACTGGACATGGAACACACGAATAGAATATAACAACTACCACGGACGTCAGACTGAATGTGTCTATTGCAGGAGGTTTGGAAGAAACGCTCGGAGATGCGGACACAATCGATTTCGTTATCGAGGTGAGCCATGCCGTTACTATTTATCTTCCTATCATGTTAATCACATCGGCCCTACCACCCTGAATGGTACAGTGCAAGGAGTAGTGACTGAAAAATTTTTAGATACTGGGGCGTCCGTATCGCTCATTAAGGAGGAGTTCCTAAATAGACTGAACCATACGGTCCAGTAAAAACGATGCTCGTCTGCGTTAAAAACAGCCGGTGTGGAACTCCTTAAAGTGTGTTATAAGACAGCATTAGACTTAACATTGGAGAAGTGTTCGTTTCGTCATGAGTTTTTAGTTTGCCCTACATTAACCTAGGACATGATATTGGGCGTAGATTTTAAGTTGAAACACCAAGTTTCTATATTTATGGATAGGGGAGGAGCGAAAATCGGCGAGGCTACGGTACACCTACATCAGTATGCAGGGACGACTAAGCCTGTAGCTCACATTGGAATTTCAGAGTTAGTACGTCAGGTAGAATGCAACCACATGATACAGGAAGTTGATCGTCGGGCAACGGTGGCTATGCTCCGACAGTTTAGTTCTGTCTTCGAGGAAAGCATTTTTGGAAATCGTACGAATACAGTACAACACTGTGTACAGGGGACCATATGCCCATCCGACAGCCACCTCGCAGATTACCCGTACACTATCGACCACAACTACATTCGATGATAAAGGATATGTTAGACAAAATGATCATAGTCCCTTCATCATCTCCCTGGGCGTCACCTATTGTTCTAGTGAAGAAGACTCCTCGCTCCGACTCTGTATAGACTACCGATGCCTTAATGCCATTACTAAACCGGACTCTTTTTTCACTTCTGCGCACTGATACCACACTGGACGTCTTGAACGGTGCTTGTTGGTTCTCCACCTTGAATCTAGCATCGGGGTACTGGCAAGTGGAAGTTCGACAGCAAGATAGGAAGAAAACTGCATTTATGGTACTAAATGGTTTATATGAATTCCAGGTAATGCCTTTCAGGTTAAGGAATGCCCCGGCTGCTTTCCAGCGACTGATACAAACAGTGTGACAAGATATAGTGCCCCATAAATGTTTGATTTACCTTGGCGATATTATTGTATACGGTAGCACACCCGAACAACATAACGCTAACCTGAAAGCTGTTCTGCAACGTCTTAGACAACATAACCTAAAAGTACAACCGTCCAAATGCCGTCTGCTGCAGAAAAAAGTAGTATTCTTAGGATATCGTATCACCCCAGATGGCGTAGGTACAGATAATGAAAAAATACGCGTGCCATTGTTACTTGGCCGCAACCAAAAATACCTGAAGACGTTAGCAGTTTCCTGGGTCTCGCGTCCTATTACAGACGTTTTGTTTGACAGCACCTCTGCACAGATTGACACATAAGGGACGAAAATTCCTATGGACCAGCTAGCGTCAACAGTCATTTGATACGTTAAAGGTACGGCTAACGTCACCACCTACAACAGCCTTTCCCGACACCTCAGCAGACGGAGGTCAGTTCATACTCGATACAGATCCTAGTTCTTCAGCTATCGGAGCAGTTCTTTAACAGGTAGCTCGAGATGTCTAGGAGAGAGTCACAGCGTACGCCAGCCGATGACTAGGCAAGTGTGAAACACTGTATTCCACAACGCGTCGAGAAATGCTAGCATTAGTGATATTTTTACAGCACTTCCGTCATTATCTACCGGGTAGGCCTTTTGTGTGCTCACGGATCACCGTGAATTACAGTGGCTTCGTTCTTTTCGCGAACCAGAAGGACAAGTAGCACGCAAGCAGGAACGGTTGCAAGAATTTGACTTCACATGCGAGTACCGTCCAGGGAACAGACATGCCAATGCAGATGCACTCTCTCGCCTGCTTTGTCCACAGATACCGTTGCTGCAAATCTGAGTACGGCAACACAGACTAACTGGTCCTCAAAGACAATTATATGGGAAAAATAAGCCGTCCATGAAGGAGTTAAGAGAACAATCCCTCGCTACGCGTCGCATTTGTAACAAATGGAGCAGTTTATAACTATATGCTAAAACGCTATTCCTAATTAATGAGTACAGACAACCCCTGCATATAGTACCGCAAGTAAAGACACAGAGTATTGTGGATCAAGCTCATCGCGAACTCGGTCACGCAGGAGAACGAAGAACTAAATATGCTTCCTTAATGCATGCAAGATTATCGAACGTCAGCATAAGGGTCCACTGGATTCTGACCTCCTAGTTTACTATTCGGGCATGAACTACGCCTCCCGAGTCAGATAGAGTAGCCTTTAATAATGTGCGAGAAACAAGAACACGTACCGCACCCACAGCAATCGCCTGGCTGATGT